ATATATATGATTTTAAAAAATTATATTTAGTCAAAGTTTGAAAGAGTTCTGCGGTACATCCATTAGATCAGTGCTGTAAGTCTTGACAGTACCTCTACTCCGCTCTCATGTAAGATGGGGACTAAACCTGAGAAAAGCAAAGGCAAGTCCAGAGAGAAGAAAAAATTAAAAGCCACACCAAAGGAAGAATAACTAAGGGCTCCCTGACCCAAGGAAGAGACGCTCAGTGGGTATCTGAGGTCAGTGTTTAAATGGACAAAAGACTATCAGGTATAATTAGTCACTTGGGTGTCTGGCTGTAAGCTCCCACTAGATTGCAAGGTCCTTCAGGACAGGAAGGGACTCAATAATCTTTGTGTTCCTACCCTGTAACATGGTATTTGACAATTGTAGGTAGGCCCAGGAAATGCCTGCTGAATAAGTATGGAAATACCAACTGCCTGGCCACAGAGGACAGCAAATCTTGGCTTAGTAGAAGTCCTGCTTTAATTCCACAAGCCTTAAAACCCCCAAAGTGGGCTGGGCGTGGTGGCTCATACCTGTAACCCCAGCACTTTGGGAGGTTGAGGCAGAAGGATCATTTGAGTTCAGGAGTTCGAGACCAGCCTGGGCAACATGGTGAAACCCCGACTTACAAAAAATACAAAAATCCCTGTCTCAAAAACAACAAAACAGCAACAACAAAAACAAAAAACCCAAACAAACAAAAGACCCAAAGTGCTTAATATCTTTATCAGCATCACTTACCAGAAGAGGCAGCTTTCACCATCAACTGGGCAAATTCAATGGCACCTCCATTTCTGAAGACTAATTTAAAAGTAGCTTGTCCTTCCCAGCCACCTGGGGGAAGAAATGGCACACACTCACTAAGAAACTGGCATAGCTGACAACAGAAAGACTGCCACAAACACCAAGGGAAACACTACCTGACAAAGCAGAGCAGCTTTTGTTTGAATTTCAACATGAGCCAAGTTTGAATCTTAAACTTTCTAGAAGATTTTAAGGGAAAAAAAATACACACTTCTGAGGGAACACTTACCATATGGAGCTGCCTGAATAGTTCCCTTAATGAAGTTTGCAGCAAATACTGGTTGTTCAACGGTGAGGTTCGTTATCAGATCAAATGGCATCATAAAAGACAGCATGGGATCATTGATGGAGCGCGAAGTTATGAAAATCACCTATGCAAGGACAGAAACTTTGGAAAAGGAATGCCAAATTTGTCCATGGATTGAGACTTACAAGAGCAAGGTGCATTCTGGTCTGACTGAGAAACATCATATTTTCTTCCATCACCCTTCAATGGAAAATCCCAAAGTGCACACGTTTAAAAACACTTCAAAAGTCAATGTTTAACTTTTCTTCATTTTAAGGAAAACAAATATAGAGTTAATCAGCAAATTAAAGCAGAAGTAGAAATTACCCGGTATGAAGTGAGAAACAATGTTCCTGTCTTTGTACCACTAAAGACATTGGAGCCTTCTGATTGCCGTGGGAAGGAGAGCTCCACATTCGGAGACTGCTTCAAGAGACTGTAGAAAATGAGGAACAGACAGCATACAATAAAGAATGTATATAAAATGACACACATAAAGTTCTTAACGCAGTTTTTTTCCCCAGAGTAAGCACTCAATAAACATTAGCTGCTGCTACTGCTATTATTACTACTACTACTATTTTATTGAAATAAAAAGGAATTCAAATGATCTTATTCTCTGACAATTTACTCTTATTCTTCTCCCTCTTCATCACTGGATTCTTTTTCTTGTCAAATCTACTCCTATTCTCAATGTGTGTTCATTAATTCTTATACTTCTTGTGTGGTAAGCGTAAAGCACTGTGCTAATAGAAATGGTTCTTTGACGCTGGTAAAGGTAAGGCAGCAGACTGCCCCAGCCCCCTCTGACATGTCCCCTCAGCCTGTCGTGCTCTCTCCTTACTGTTAACCTGGAAAACTTGGACTACCTTATTGTCACTCATCAAATCCTGCTGGATTCTTTTTTTTCCTTTCTTATCTTTCTTTCTTTCCTTTTTTTCTTTCCTTTCTTTCTTTCTTTCTCTCTTTTTATTTCTTCTTTCTCTCTTTCTCCCTCCCTCCCTCACTTCTTTCTTTTCTTTCTTTCTTTTCTTTTTCTTTTCGCCTCGGCCTCCTAAAGTGCTGGGATTGCTGGGATTACAGGTGTGAGCCACTGCACCCAGCTCTCTTTCTTCTTTCTGTCTTTTTTTTTTTTTT